TCAGGATGGTGCCACCTCCGGCGCAAGACCCCGACTGGCATGTGGCGAAAGTCTCCCCCGACGTGAAGCTGGTTCCAGGAGGAAAAACAGACAATATATATTATAGTTTTGGGTTTTAGGGAGTTGGTGCCTTGAGCATGAAAATTCAATCAAGTCACGCCAAATCTGCTGCTGGCACAACAACACGCTCAAGCCCATGTTGGGACAAATTCATCGCGGACGAGCAAAATTGAGAGTTTCCGAGAATCAGCGTGAGCAGGGCTAGCGGCGAATGTGCCCCAGATCGCCTCTGGCAGCTTATGGACGGCGGGAGACACATGTAAAACAAAGCACGAAGATGGGTGATGTTTCGGCATTTCTATTTTTTGGATTTTCAAGATGTGCGTCATGTGCCCCCGGTCAAGCAACGAATTTCGAAACCGCTTCGCCACGGCTGCCCTTTCCGTCTCTGAGCATGGGCTTCGCGCTCTAGCTTCAAGGTAGGGTAGTCGTTGTCCTCGAGAGCGTTCGTGCGCATGTCCAATCGTGTCCCCGGTGAACTCGAAAACGACACCGTGAACTAAATAAAGAACTCTTGAAAATAAAACACGCTCTGTTTTTTTCGGATGATTTCTTTGGGTGATCACCACCCCTCAACTCTTGCCCATGAGAGCTCATACGGACGCAAGTGCCCCTCAATAGGAACACCTTGGATCCGGGTGCGGGTTTTTGCGTTGTGGGCGCAGGAACAAAAGTTATCGAATCAACCGGATCAGATTCTTTAGTTCAAGGGAGAAAATGGAGCAACAGGCAAAAGCACAAAAAAAAAAAACTCTGTTCACACCCTTCCAGAGTGCGGAGAGAAAAGATGTGGTCCTGTTGATTCATAGCGTATGGTCTATTGACAAGTGTCACAGAGTGTGAAGAGTCAACTCTCCACCTGGAGTAGTACTTGCGCCCTATTTCCGGTCTAAAAAAACAATTCGACCGCTGAGTTAGGAAAGGAAAAATATTTTTTCGGGGTGGTCGTTACTTCGTTTTTTTCTGGTCGGTAGCGGTGTAATCTCGAGGGCTAACAGTACACGGGAGAGGTGCGGGGAAGACACGGCAGCCATGTCTACAAGAAACAGCGAGGTTCCCTATACACTACGTTGGGGAGATGCCGTTGCCGTTTCCTGACACGCTGAACAGACGTGAAAAGAAAAGGGAAACACCACCAGAATTCATCATGTGCCGTAATAGTCCGGCGCGGCCACGCGCGAAAAAGAAAATAATATTTAGAGTTTGTTGCGAGAAGAGTCAAGTTCATCGGTTTCACGCGACACCCACAAAGGCACGGTGCTGCTGATCAAGATGTCCGGCATCTCATGCTCTATGCAACACTGGGGCTCCTTCATCCCCCCCGCCCCCCCCCCCGCATAACGGGATGTCCTAAGATGGGACCAGCCTATCGAACATGGTATTCGACGTGCTGTTCTTTATTGCGCTGCTAGTATGCATCTGTCGACATGTGTAATAGTGACTCCCACCGTACCTTGGCGACGTCGAGCTGCACGCTGACGCCGAAGTTGTTGCCGTCCTCGATCTTGGGCACCTGCACCCGGATCCATCTCTTGAGGGCCAGAAGGATGCTCATGGTCTGGGTCACCTCGTTCCTAGAAACGATAGAGCAGCAAAGAGGCCGTTGCGTGCTTTGAGGAGGCGGGGTTCCGCACTTGTTTCAGCTTTGGGATAGTAGACGAGTGTGCGTACACGCACGCATTCCTTCCGGGATCCGGGTCCAACGCTGACTCACTTTCTGGCGCTCGAGCCATCCTTCTGCACACAATACACACACTTCTACCCCCCTCGTCAGCCTTCTGCGGACCCCCACGGGATGTATATACCGCGGGTTCAAATTTGTGGTGTTCTTCCGCCAAAAATTATTGGTGTCCTTACATTCGTCGGGCGGTTGGCTTGGTCAACTACACTACGAAGCACTCTTTGCTAAATCAGATACCCACGCACCTGACGGTGGACAGCAGAGCCCCCATGTTCGCATTCTCGGTTGCGCTTCCCCCCGAGCTGGTTAGGAGTTGCTTGAACCCGCTGGTGTTGTTTCGCCCGACGAAGGTATGAATAGTTGTGAGAAATTATCGTTGTCGTTGTCGCGTGAAGGGCGAAGCGCGAAAAGGATCGGGGTACAGTAGTGCAGTAAAGAGGGGTCGAATCAAGCGTTGAGATGGTTCCGATGAGGGATTATGGATTTGGCTTTAATATCGACGCGGCCTTTTGGCACTGCTGTTGCTGTTGCTTCTGCTTTACCGCGCGCCAAGCATTCACTACGAGGGAACAACAACGCTGGTATTCCTGTTGGTGAGCTGGTTGATGCGAACCTGTTGTGACGGCGTGCTGTATTTTGATTGTAGCCTGGAAGAACATTGAAGAATTCACAGCAGTTAGAGAGGTGCGCCTTCGCCACGACATAAGGTGAGCCGGCAACTGAAATCGAAGCTTGAAACAAACGACAGAGTCGTTCGTTAGGAAGGAGGGCAAAAAAAGAACCCGTAAAGCCTTGCACCCGGATCCGGGATCCTGTGCAGAACCACGCGCTCTTGAGAGTTCGGACATCATGTAAATGTGCTCCAGACTGGAGAATTCTGAGGAAGCCAACAGACCAGCCACACCTGATGCTGTGCACCACGTACGTATCGGACGTCCCAGCCACTAACAGCAATTAATCGCAGGTGAGTCTGTGCTGTCGTCGCTGCCCTTGCGACAAAGGGCATGATCGGCTACACCCCAGCGCACATGGAGCACCCGCTGTCGATTGCCATGAAAAGAAACACTGCTGCGCAAAAGCTAACCGTGGATCCTTCCCAACAACCCAGTGGTCTTGCATAGGATATTGCTGCTAAGGATTTCTGCAGATGAACCGCCAAATACACGCCGAGAACAGAGTGACATCCTTCCCTGACGAAGCGAACCCTTCCTCCGTGGATCGTCACGGCCCCGGGGATTATCGTCGTCTATCCTTGCGTTCGCGTTGCACCCCCTTCCCTCCTCATCTTCTTCTGCCGAACGCCATCCGAGCGACAAAGAACCCTCAGAATAGCATGCAGCTGGGTAGCTGCTTGTCTGATGATCTAGACCAACAGACCGCCAAACATGCATACCTCGTTTCCTATAACAAGACACGCAAGAGACCTTCGGCGCCGTTCGTCATCGGTGCCTGGCGTGTGCGTGTGTGTATGCTCACCTTTCGATGTCCGCCAGGCTTGTGTACGCGAACTCTGCCTCCAAGAGAGCTTGCATTTTTCCAACTTGCTCGGGCAGGTTTGCGAGGGCTACCTCTCCCTCTCTGACACTGATCGCTGTCAACGAGCTCATGACTGGCTGGTTTCGATGCTCGAGAGATGGGTCGCGTCAGTCGATATTCGATAGTGGTAATGGGCACAGCAGTCAGTTGGGTTGTGGTGTTGGCAGCCGGGGAAGCTCGGAGAACCTGGAGGACTCATTCAATGAAACACGGTGCCCCGTTTTCCTGCCGCACTCCTCCGTACCAGCACAAATTCCGCCGCCTGTCCCTTCCTCTCCATCTTCGGAAATCCATAAATCCATGACCGTGGTACGTACATGCCATCTCCGCCACCCTGATCCTACTTCTCTCCCCTAGCTGTGCTGCTTCACCACTGTTTCGGTAGCAGTACAGCGGGTTTGCGGGTAGCAGTATAGCTCCCTCGGTGCGTGCATCGCAGCATGCGCTTGGCGAGCCTCCAAGTGACATCTGCGTGCAGATGCCTTGCTGTTGTCGCCGTCGGCGTCCTGTGGTGGTGTCAGCAGCCGGTTGAAGCCAGCCTGGGGGTGGGATGGAAGACACTACGCGCGAACTGGTTATTTAAGCACGAGTCGTTCGAGGTGCGTGCGTTCAAAATACCGCTCGCTGTGAAGCTTGACGTCACGCATTGTTGGTGTTGTTTAGGGTGCTGTTAGGGTGTTGTTTTCGGTTGTCTTCATCCGCACATAAATGATTGAGTCCTACAGAGCTCCCGTAAGTTGGTGTAGAGAGACCCCAGGCAGACAGCAGTCCGACCTCACTGCTGTGACATATCGGGCAGACAGAACAACATGTTTGCAGTATTGTTTTCCTGCTCGGCACGCGGTGACAAGCATCTAAAGTTATCCAACGAACTTTATCTCCCACACATGAAGACACATGCACCTCGCGCGACCCGAATACCGTATATGACACAAGATAACACACCCCCTGGACCGATTTTCAAAGCTCGATTACTCCACGACGAAGAGGATGCATAAACGAAACAATACATTTTCGAAAACCTCTCGACGAGACGGTTCCAACGCCGCCGTTTTCGGCGCTGTGACTTTTCCTGCTGTTGAGAAATCGAGCTTTGAAAATCGGCCCAGGGGGTGTGTTATCTTGTGTCATATACGGTACTTCAACTGCTGTGGCGACGCTTCGCGTGCTGATTGCTTGGCGGCATTCTGTATTTATTGACTGCTTCGGCAACGGATCATCGACTGAAGCATGGAAAGCGTTTTTTTTTAGGTGGCCTCTTTGAGCTGCATGGGTCGAATCGATGTGGGGAAACCAAACGTCGCTCTTGGATTGTGCCCCGACTTCACGATCGATCGTGGGATATATTTGGCACGGCTACTTCTACAGCAGTGTATATATAGCCGACAACTACAACTATACAGCGAGTGACCCAACGATGGAAAGCAAGGTGACGTGCGAGGTTCTGTAAGATGTTGATCACTTTGGATCGAATCTCTGGCTGGCCGGCTAGATTGTAGTCGGCATGATGCGCAGCTACTGAAAATTGACTGCATCATGTCACCGCTCGCTGGATCCGCTTGCCTGCTCCGCGCTGCTGTTGCTGAGACGCCAGCCGTTTCTGTCGGCGGCATCGTTCCTGTTCTTCATTGGATTGTGGGGGTTCTTGGACTTCTTCGTACCCTCGGCAAGCAAGCACCGCACATTTTTATCGGACGATTTGTCGTCGTGGTTCGGTGGCACCCGTATCAGAGACCAGGCCTTGTGGTATATCGCACCACTGGTGGTGAGAGGAACGTGAACGAACGGCAAAGAAAGGTGGCGATAGCGTGTAAAGTACCATAGAGGGCATAGATAGATAGATAGGTTGACCTCAATTTGCACGAGGTGGGCAACCAAAACTACATGTGACGTCCTCCCATCAAGCTGCCGCCAACTTCCGCGCGCTGCTTGGTCTTAGCTTTCAGCTGTATTTTTCCAAAATATGTGAGCCTAACTTGTCCCCTTGTCGTAATGCTCGACATTTTGTTGCCGACAGTTTTTCATTCCTTTTCTTCTGTGAGGAGAATAGAATCAATCGCCAGTCAGTGCGACCTGATGCACAGCCAAGCGTTCTGTCTCCCGCGGTCGAACTGTTCGACTACTATGGCAACCGATGTCTTCTGGTTACATAGTATAGTCTAGGTTGAACTTTGTTCCACTGGGAATCTTCGCATGCATGCCCGTTCGTTCCTCTCTACGCCGCCAGATATTTGATCTAATCTTTCCCCGGCGACAACTCCCCGAGTCAGCCCCCTCCTTGGGGAGGCTTGTCCTCGAGGTGGTGGCCGCCATAGCAGTCTACGACGCCGCTTTCTTTGCCTGGCACGCCAGCCTGCATAGCAACCCGGCCCTTTACCGTCGAGTGCACGCGAAGCACCACAAGTGTCACGTTCAGCGGGCTCCCGAGGTTGGAAGACTTATTTATGACTGCGAGTTGGGGTGATGGTGGGTGCTCACCAGTCTCAATGTCAAGTTCCCGAAATAGGTCGGAGATGTTGATCATGCTGAGCTTGCCTCCGTTTTGTGTGCTGTTCGATCGACCGGTCGATGTTTCAAACGCTGCTTTTTGGACCAAGGAGGTTACTCCAAGGGAGTTCCAGACATTCATGTGCGTGGGCGCCTGTACTACTTACGATATTTCCCTTTGCCCCCGTTGCACACAAGCAACGAAAAAATGATTCTCCCACCTGCTTGCAGGCTACCTACGCCCAACCGTCCGTCTAATATATCCACCCGCTTCCCGTGACATGCGTCCCGGCGGCCCTCAACACACATACGCATGCAGGCCGTCCGCCACACGTTCATCGACGGGTCCATGGACGTGGCCTGCTCCATTTTCGCGCTTAACGCCGTTGGGTGCCATCCCCTCTCTAGGGCTGTATACAACGTGGTCATCATAGGATTGATTACCGAGCTGCACGCAGGGTGAGAAGGGAGCAGCGTCCTACAGGAGTTTTTTGGGGGATACCAATAGCAGCAGCAATGATCGCGAACCTAGATTTCGGTGCCCAACATTGGAGGAGCAGTGCGCTTCATTCAGCAGTTTTTGGCGGCGTTCACCTATCTATCTACCTGTAAACCCTGAGTCCACGTACTATCCTGCCCGTCCACCGCGCTTCTCAACTGCTACCGCCTTGCATTATTGCCTTCTTCCTGTATTATTGTGTGCCGAGCACAGATATGATTTTCCGTGGCAGCTGCACCGGCTTGTTCCATTCGGATTGCTGGGGGGGCCGCCTCGGCATGAAGAACACCATCGCCGTGGAACGGTGTACATGCAAAAGTTCGGCACGTATCTGGACGGCGCATTTGGCTTCGTTCCACCAGCCGCATCGTGCGGAAGACGACTGTCCAAGTGAACTATTCGCCTCCCTCGCGTTGCCCCGAAAGTGAGGGCATTCAGGATGGGGTTTTTATTGGGTGGTAAACACCGGTGTCTGCTCATCGTGTTGCTGCAAACAGCGCAGTCACCATCAAGTAGGGCGAGACATAAGAGTACGCGACAACGCCGTCCTCTTACGGAAGCCCGCACCACCTACGAAGTGCACGTATTTAGCCCCGCTGATGTCTTGGTGAGTCAGTATCTTTGTTTCTTGGCCATCCGTACAAGTTCGGTACCCTTATTTTTGGGTAAAAGTTGGCCCGTGACCACGGAAGGCGTCTGGTCAGAGGGACGGGTACGGATGTAAAAATGTTTTGAGCAGAGATCGGAACGGTTTCCATGCGTAGACATCAAACAAGGAACCCCAGAGCTGAGCGGGACCTGAAAAGGCGGAGACAGACAACGGATACATAGAGCCACTAGTTCGCCGCTCTCGGATTCACCGATCTCCTACGATCGTGTCATCGAAAAGCGGTACATTTTTGTGTGTTCCCCAGGTACTTTGATGGGTTTCAAGTCGCACGCAAATGCGCAGAAACCAACGAAAGGAGCGACCTGCTGGGGGGTATACCATGTATTTCCCGCCATACCGGTTCGGCGATACCGCCGTGTAGCCAAAGGTACCCACGACGGTATGACGCGAGGGAGTGTACTTCCAAAGAACGTTCCAAGCAATGCTTGATAACCTGGTCGCTCGAACCACTACTTGAACGATATATTTCAAGTATATTACAGTAACAGCAGTTGGTCGGTCAGCAGCAGTCAGCAGCAGCCTGTCCGTGCGCGTACACAAGAAAGATGAAAACATCCATACCCGCAAGCATCGAAGAGACTGGCCGGTCTCTGCGCGCACGCACAACCAATCAACCAAAAGACCAATACCCCTGGGAATCGAGAGTCAGGCGTAAACGACCATCTACCAACACAGAAATGAAATAACGGAGCACTGGTAGCCCAGGCATCACACTTCGCGAGTCAAGCAGGGCACCGAGTCCGTAAATCTTGCGCGTGCATGAAGAAATTTGAACAACTCCTACGCTACAATTACAGCGCGTGGCACTTCAAAGGATCATCACGCTTCGAAATGGAAGAGACATCTAAACGAAGCGGAACGGCCGGGCGCCCTAAAGTGGCCGACTCTTGAGGTACCTGAAAGAACAGAAAACCTTCGCGAATCGGTCAAGAATTCGGCGCGTCTCTTTAAACCGCTCAGCTCGCAGGGAAAACATATCTCAAAAGCCGCACGCACGGCCTCCCAGCTCTTGCCCGAGCCAACTTCGTGTCATGATGTTGGAAAGTCGCTACCGGTCGGTCGGCATCAAGCACGGGTATGCACACCGCGCACGACGCGGCAGACGCACAACGACAACTAAATAACTCAAGTCCAGCTTTGACCCACTTGCGGAAAATGTGTCGGTGTACGGGTGAGAGCCAGAGCGTGCGACCAGCCACACCCCTTTTCTATCTTAACCCGTACACAACACCCCTGCGCATTTTGGTGTGTGCGGCCGTTCAATGAGCAAACGAAACAAAGAAAACTTGACGCAACGTCCACATATACAACACCAGCAGGTCAGTACCATGCAACATGAGTCAGCCAGCAAATCGGCCGTCTAGCCCAAGTTTTCTTCGCGACAGCACGAAACACAAATGTCAACACTTCCCAACACTCCTGCCCTACCCGTAGCCATGACACGACAAAAAAACGACCCCGTGATTGACCGGCACACTGTGAGCCTTGAGTCTTGTCGATCAGTACCTGGGAACGGGAGGCGGGCGGGTCGAGAATGATCACGGGTCAAAACATTTGCGTCAGTTTCGGGCAATCTCCCACTCAGCAGTGCACTCTCGACTCCAGTACACGGGATGACAACCACGACCGAGCCTGAGGAAAAAAAGAGCTTCAGCTGCTCTCAAGGCTGGAGACGTACACAACGCCAACGATCTCCATCTCTCTCGACGGCCACATTTGCGTCGCCAGCACATCTAACACAACGAGCCTCGAGCTTCTTCACCACAAAATTCGTTCACCTGTCGCGAATGGGGCTGCGGCTGCGGCTGCGGCCGTAGGGGCTCCTGCCGCGGCCGGGAGGGGAGCGAGACCTGCCGCGGGGGGGGCTTCCGCGGCGGGGGGGAGGGCTGCGGGAGCGGCGCCTGGCGGGAGAGCGGGAACGGCCGCGGCCGCTGCCTCCATCGTCCTGGGAGAAGAAACAAACAACAAAAGGGTCACGATCGGACGGGTGGGTGTTAACACTGGTGGCGTGCGGTGATGACAGGAATGGCATTTGGCACGCTGTGCTCGGTGGTAGAAACCGGGTTTCCCTCTTCCACAGGCCGGATCAGGGCACATATTAATACTTCATGGTTCATGGTGAAGAACGAAGTGCCGTTCATGTTAACACGTAATGCATATGTTATGTGGAACACACTCCACGGGATGTGGATACGTGCATCACCTAGGCGAGCGCCAATACAAGACGACGACACACAACACGAGCTACACTATACACGAAAGCACTCACGTAGTCCACGCGGATGCGCCTGTCCGCGAAGTAGGTGTCGTCCAGCTCCCTCACGGCCCTCGACATGTCGTCGCGGTTGGAAAACTCAGCGACACTGCGGGTCGCCGAACCCACCACGGCAAACAGAAAAAAAGACACAAGAAACACGCACAACACACCACGACAACAAAGCAGCAAACGGGGAACGGAAGGACAAGACACGGGATCGCCGGACCCAGGCAGGCAGGAAGACGGAAGAAGGAAGAGGCGCGCACAAACACGTGAGAAACCGAAAACGCTGAAGGTGAACCCACCCCCACAGCGGCCTCTCAACAACAACAGTACCAAGCACTCACCGGAAAACAGAGCAGCACTACCATAGAGGTTTCACGGAGGGGCTATGGATACGCCCTCTACGAGTAATCAATCGCCTACAGCGTGAGTCCAACCATAACGCGGATTCTCGACACTAGAGAAAACAAATTATTGAAAACAAATTATTGGTGTCAAGACCCGACTGCTTCACGCATCATCTATAACGCTAAGCAGGGTGTTGTGCAAAAAGCACGGTACCGATGTGTCCATGGCATACTGCGGCGAGGAGCGAGTTGTTGCTGTTGGCAGCCAAGGTGCGATGGTGGTTGAAAGCCAGATGGGGAACCAGCAGAAAGCACTTGTTGTTCTTGTCGTTGGGGTCATGGCGACGTACGTGTTGTCGCGTGGCAGTCATCATGTTGGGGTTGTTGGTGGAGGCGAGGTTGCCGAAAGTTGACGTAGCGCAGTAGTGTAGAGAGTAGAGGAGATGCACGGTAGCGCAGCTGTACAAGTGAAGCGACGCGACGTGACGTAGCCACGGTGGCGGCTGGATGCAAGAACCCCCCCCTCTTTCTCTTGTCTCTCGGATGCTCGAAAGGGCGGCAGCGGTTGGTCGAAAGTCGAAAAAGCTGTAGAACCTAGGTGGTGGTTGACCCCCCCCGGAGAGGGTGAAACTTTGGTTTGCACCAGGACCAGCCCATCTCCCACCATGAACAAAATCGTCTTTGCGGAAGGAACGTTGGGAAGATTGCTGTAGATCCTCAACCCCGCTTTATCCCGCGCGCGCCACCGTAACGTTGATTGCAGTCAGCGCCTACAACTACTAGACGTCCGCACGACCGTCGGGAAGAACATGCCGGTGGTGGCACGCGTACAACCACTACAACAACACGCCCACGTAGAAAAGCACCAACTGTGCCATTGCCGCGCTTCTCGACACAACAAGGCCCCAAAGGGATGGTAGCGTAGTTTGGAGCGGTCGAATATAATTTTGGCGCGCAGCCCTGCCGGCTGGTTTCTTTGTAGAGACAGCTATACTGTGGAAAAAGCACCCCCCCCCCCCCTTTCCCACTCCATCGCGTTGCGCCCCGTCGTCCGCGTCGACATCGCAAAAAGGGATGGTTAGGTTAGGCATGGGCGGGCACGCAAGTTCGTGTGATCACACCACCACACGAAAAAAGAACGCGAAAGTTTTCTCAGCTTAGCCGGACCGACCTCGTCGGCGGCGGTTTTCTAAAGCGCGCGCAGCCGTCGACAACCTTCAGGCAAAGGACAGTTAATCGAGACCCACTTTCGACAGAAAACGCACACGGGTTACAACAACACTCGAGATAGCTTGAGAAAACACAACGAAAACACGACGGACGGACGTACCCTTCGTCGCCCCGGACGTCAGCGTAAGTCACGTCCCCCGCCTTGCGCACGAAGTCCTTCAGCTCGGACCAGCGCATGCCCTCAGGTAGGCCGGTGATGCGGACCTTGTAGCCGGTGCGGGGCGCGGCGCCGCCGACGCGGGGAGCGCCGTACCCGCCGCCGCCTCCGCCTCCACCCCCGTAACCACCGCCGCCGCCGCCGCCTCCGTATCCGCCCCCGGGCGGCCCGCGGTCGCGGCCTCTTTGGTGAGACTGTCGACCGTACACACCGTAGCAGAGGTGGAAGAAGGAAAACAGCAGCAAAATCCACCCCGTCAAAAAACAGCACGTTCAAGACACACATTCCGAAGACCGAGGTGGGGGTCGGGGGGGGGGTCGCATGTGGTACAGCAGTAGTAGAAGTTTGCATCCAATCAAAATGAAGCAACAGGGGAGCAAGACAACTCACGACTTCCACACGCCACTCGCGACCGGCGATGCTCTTGCCGTCGATCTCCCTAACGGCATCACCGGCGTCTCTGTCGTCAGCGAACCAGACGAACGCGAAGCCCGGTGGGTTGCGGGCGACCCACACCTAAATTTGGCGTGTATTATAGAAGTAGTTCGGAGTGCAAAAAACACGCACGCCACAACAACGAACGCGAAGAGCACGAGAGACAACAACGGCAGCGGTGGTGGCGTGCCGCCCATAACAAAGGCAAAACAGCCACCACCAGGACAAACGAACACCGAGGACAACAGGCATGGGGTCTTGAGGTTCGTTTTTCGCATGGTTGAATTGAGGCAGGAGGTTGTTCTCTACTTACGATCTCAACGCGCCACTCCCGCCCGGCGATGCTTCTCCCGTCGATCTCACGAACGGCGTCAGTGGCATCTCGGTCGTCGGCAAACCAAACGAAAGCAAAGCCCGGAGGGTTACGCGCAACCCACACCTGCGCAAGCGGACAAGATTCATTAAAGATCACCTTTATAGCACACCTACTACTACACATTTCGACACCCGGCAGGGCCGACAGCGGAGAAGGGGAACATGTTGTGCAACCAAGGGTTAAACACAGAGGTTGGCTGGCTTTTTTTTCATAGCGGTCGAAACACCCGGGAAAAAAAAGAAAAAAGACAGATGACGAAATTGCGACCAAGGGCGCCAAAATCGATGATACAGGAGACGAGGCCACAAGAGGGGGCAGGGCAGAAACAATGAGTTGGGGAACGCTAGCGCTGCTCTTACACACCACAATTCGAAGGGATGCGTGCTGCGAGGGACCTACATAGTTCGGGTTATTTCGTGCCAAGATCGGGGGGGGAAAGCGGACCTCTTGTAGGCTGGGCGCAAGATGAGCCACCCGTCCTGACAAGAAAAATCCAACACCAAGACGCCCATAAGGACTACAATCCCTCCACGCGCACGCAGATCTTCCTCCGCGGACTCTGTGCAGCAAGCTTGACGGTTGCCCAATTCATCCACGTCTCGGCTATCTCCCTCCTACCTGAATGCGGGAGTTTCGTGGCGTGTGGCCGGGGACCAAAAACCAAAATCAATCACCTTGTTGAGTTCTCCGAACTTGCTGAACTCGTCCCTCAGGTCACGCTCCTCGCACGTGCTGCCGAGGTTACCTACCCAAACCTTTGTTCCGGGCACATCTCCCATGGTTTTAGCTTAGTCTCGCGCGAGTTGTCTTTTGTGCGGAAGTTCGGAGAAAAGACGGAAGCGCGTATGTTTCGGGTGTGCGCGAGGTAGGAGGAAGACAGAAAAAAGAGGCGCGCAGAGTTCCTCTTAAAATGAGGTTTCCATATGACACGATGCGTTATGACCGAACAGATGAGCCGAGAGGGGAGAGGGCGGCCGCTGCCAGCTCTCTTTTCATTTTCCTCTTCTTCGTCGCGACAGCGGTCTCTCTCGAAGAGTTCCCATCCGCCAGCTACATCAAGTCTAAGGTTTCGCTCGAGAGAAGCGGGGTTCGATTGCGAGGCTGATCGGTTTTCCAACACGCAAGGGAGCCCGCGAGAGGATCATGAAGACCAGTGCATCACATGCGGCTGTGGCGATTGCGCTAGCCAGCGGAGTCTGCCGTTCGAGCGCGTTTGTCGTCGGTGTTGGTGGGGCGATGGCCAGGTGAAGAGAGAGTCTATTTTCCGGCGTTGGTGGCGACTGCTTGTATCTCGTGGTCGAATCCGAAGGACGCTGCAGTCCCCATCTTACCGCATGCACGCGCATATAAAACATGTGTCGCTCTCTCCTGCGCCCTCCCTGTGCAACATCCTCTAAGCTTCTTTCTGCTTTGCTGTTGCGCAACAGACTTGCCTTATTGCTTATCGCCCTGTGGTAAGCCGGCCGACAACCCGACTCATGTGCACATGGACTTGGTGGTGGTGATGTAGCTGTCACTGGTATTTGAGGCAGTTGTTCACAGCCTGTTCTATCTATGTTATGGATGATAGATGTGAATTCAACCTTCATGTCCAGCCGTGCTGCCGGGGTCTCACTGACTGCTGTTTTCATAACGGCAACCTCCATCTCAAGATCCATGCATACATCAACCGTGAGCTCGCGCATCGGCCAGAAAATCATGAGCCCAAGTACCCCTGGGTGTTCTTCATGTATATCGACCGCAAGAATCATCTGCCTTGCGTTAATGGTTTATAGCCTCAACGGGACAAATGATGCCAGTTTGCCTGTGTGTCTTCCCTTGCCCTCTCTCATGGATGAATATCTGCGGGCCTGTACTTGTACTGCTGTTTGCATGCAACCATCCTCAAAATGCCCATGTGTTCATGTTTTTCTCATTCAAACGAGTGAAATGATTTCTACCAACAGATGGAGAGTCCAGGATCGTGTTGCATGCCCAATCTGTGTTTCGACCAATCTCCGAGCAGCAAACAGCGATATATCCCCTCTCTGGGAACGTGTAACAGGCTCACATTTCTTTCCGTTTGTGTGCACCCGCGCGGTCAGCTCCCGCTTTTGTGGTGGAGATTGCACCCGTTGCGACCCAACCACGTCGCCCGTCTGGCAACAGTGCTGCTGTTTGCCTCAGTTGCTTCGTCCAAATGGCACTGTGTCAGACTGCCTTGCTTATAACACCATGTTGAACACCATGTCAAGAACCAACCGCACTTTCGGTATAAGCATTATAGCGCCTGTACTCTTAAGTTCTTGAGCTGCCGTCAGCACACCAGGGTGTCTTCCTTGACGTGCATTGCCGTCGCACGAGCAAATTACCTCAGCCGTTGAAACACACGCATGTAATCGCTATGACCCTGTTGTTTCCCTCGTACAGGCCTTCGGCGTCAGCGGCTAGAACAGCAGCAACGAGTCCGTTGATGGCCGTGCCTCTGGAGCTGGAGGGACAGCTCGACGAGAGCAAGGAGTGGGAGGTGGAGGTGGGCATCGTACAACGCCACATTTGCGAGCGGAACATTCGTGCCGTGCTGTTGCCACGCCCACCCGCTTCAGCGCAACAATGCGGCCTACAGCACCGTTGCGGACGGCGAGGCGACGTGCCCTGATGCTATAGCTGCACCACACAAAATATTAGACCACGAAAGTGCATACAAACCACACAACATACACTCGGTGCCGACTGCGTATCAACAGCAGACAAGCCGTTGGAACAACTTTCCGAACATTGTGCCCACAGCAAGCAGTATAGGTGGATAGGTACAGCCCTGGCATCGGAAACGAAAGTCCTTGGCTTGTGACATGGGGAGCAATGATACTACATGTGGTGTCCCGTGCGTTACATACCACGCTGCTGCCGGTATGTTGCCCAGTACACGCTGCTGTGCGTAGTGGTCATTCTGCGCTTACTGCTGTACCGTAACAGCGGGTGCCCCAAACTACATGATACATCATTTTTTGTCACTCTGAGAAAGACAAAAGACAAACGTGGACGGATTGTAAGCTGCTCTTCTTCTCTCCATTGTTGTTCGCCTCGGCTCGTCCCGCGCTGCTAGCTGGAGCTCGATGGAGAGACGAAAATGGTGACAGTCCCGGAGGGCACCTCCGTCCTTTACGCGGCCAAGTCGGTGAGCAAGAGTGACAACAACTATAATACTACCATGGTACGAGGCTCTGCGCTTTTCCGATCGCCCGGCAACTCCGGTCGGTCCAGCACGGACTGCTGGCTGTCTTCAACAT